TGATGTGTTGAGCCAAACTCCTTCGCGCCACACGAATAATTGGTAAATGGAAATCAATAAGGCAGATAATACGTCTTCATACAGTACCGCAGTGCGCAGAAGCCGTCATGATCCTGTTGGACACTTTGACAATGGAATACGCCTCAACAGTGGGACCGGTGGCATCTTTCGCTTGCTAACATAAATGAGACTCGAAAGTACATGACTCATTTCAAAAACCCTTGTCTTAAAAGAGCCTGCTTCAAAATGGAATGATCTGCCCTGTGCGACTGAATACTCTCTTGTTGAAGTGAGGGTTAAGAAAAGGTGTCAGAGCCCTTTCAGGTAGGTTGGGGTGGTGGTTGACCGCTGCTCGTTGGTGATGCCTGTCGCAACCAAAACCTTGCAGAGTACTTCACCAGCCTCAATCCATTGGGCTAGGTGAAGGTTGGGGGACAAAGGCAATGTTTCATGAGTGCTGCCCTCAAAACAAACTTCCAAACAGCCAAATGTACACAAACGCTCAGAGAAAGCAAAAATCTTGAAAAACAAGTGCCGGCTAGTCTGAGCAATATCTGTAATTCGGCGAACCACGGGACATGAACTGCAACCGAGTCAGGAAGGTCATGGAATTTAATATTAATTTTCCAGTTTTATGGTCAATTTCTTCCTCCATTGCTGAACATCAAGTGCTGCTTCCTTCGCAGCCTTATAGACCTTTTCAGGGATGTCCTCCTTGGGTAGTAATCAATCGACATAGCTCAATCTTCTTTTGATATTATTTACAGTACACTGCAACGTTTGCACTAAGGAATTTTGTACTCTCCTTTATGGCTAAATAATTCATAGTTCATGCAATAATCGAATGACATCGTCCGATGTAGCTCCAAATGCTTAAAGAGAATACTCTGATTCCGTTTAACAGTGTCTTTCATCGAAATTCATCAAGAGATATCCACAGAAAGATTAGCAATCGCTTTCCATACCAATCCAGCACTTTTCGATATTATCTGCTCTAAATACAGGTGATACATGTGTCTGTATTTTATTGGCTACTTGAGCTTTTATGTTCCAATATTAATGATAATAATGATGACAAAGTCTTACTCTGGTCCATTAAATGACCGAAGTATCCTTTGGCTTCGCGGATTGTCATCTTTCATTTAGAGCGTAAATGGATTATGAAAACACCTTAAAACGCTTTGGAAGCGATTTATACAAACGATGGTCTTCAGTGCTTCCCTTTGAGCTTTGCAGTAGCAATTTCCTTTTAGCCAACAGAACTCTGTTGACATCGGTACCACCCTGTTAATATTCACTTAACCTGTCGCACTCATTGAGACTCATTTCAGGTTGTCGTGGCTGCCGTATTAGTTCAAGAATATAAGCACGCCGTACTTCGCTCTCTGATGCAATTCCATGGTGCTTGCCCATTCTCACGATTCTCTACTATGTAGACGCTGAAGTTAGACTATTGAGTAATGTGACCAACCTCAAACAAACTTATATTAAATTTCTATTGCAAAGAGATACCCCGAAAGCAGCTAGAACTCTTTTCACCCTCACGGCAGATTCAAAATAATTCAACTTGATGGATCCCGCGAAATATGCGAACACTGAAGAAAGCATGTGAACGGGGTAAAACATACGAATCAATGCTTTAGATTTTTGCACAGCGTATTCGTGCTGTTGATCATTCCCTAGAGGGCCATGGGTCCTTTAAGCAAACCATCCTAACATCGTATTATGGAGTCTATAGAGCATGAACCGAAAGCTGCATTCCTGAGTTGTATCGAACTACGGATAGAAACGGTCCAACCGAATATACATACAGCGTAGTAGTAGTATATTAGTGGAGAAAGATTTTAGTGGCTTCAGAGCTACTCCAACGATTACGAAATAGGTGTCGTCAAGAAGCACCAACAATACCGGTTTTTGCTTTGACTACATCCAATGCTCATCTAACTTAATTGGCTCTGGTGCACTGAAGCTTATTCCTTGTACCATGCACCTATGAAGCAAAAGAAATGTTCCAAGTTATCTCAAGTCACGAAACTTAGCAACATTGAGTTCATAGTGTAGTTCGATTCTGATGGCTTACTCTCACATGTTCAAACTTTAGCTTGGAAGAATTTTTCATTTGTAAGATTCTGAAACTGTCTGTTTGTCGTGCGGCCATGATCACCTGAGGTTAAGCAGTACTTGAACACATACCCTTCTAAGTTCATGACTTCTATTTTCAGAATGTGACCATGGGAAGGGCGTTCGGTTTAAAATAAGCATTGCGCTCACCATATTTGGCTTACAGTATTGACTTTTGAAAGTGCAACCATCCTAGCAGGCGTCATAGACTTCAGGGACAATGGCTAGGTAATTCGAGACTACAAGCCACCATGAACAACACTTCTTTAAAAATTTTCGGTTCTCTGAAATTGGAGCTTTCGTCCAATGAACGAACCTTGATCCATCTCCATTGTAATTCAGTATCACGGATTTCTAAAGAAGACGATGCTTTCAGATGATCTGTCGTAAGAAGAAAGCAAACTTCAACTGCCTCCGTACGATACAAAATTACAACGAGTTATTTAGAAAAAATATGTAAACTAGTTTTAAAAACAAAAAGGCCATTATGCATAGAGCATTCCTGCTGATTTTCCTGGCCTTGAAAGATTCATCTGCCTTGAAAGGGAGAAATAAGAGATTCACATAAGGTTAACTTCATTCATATAATGTCCTTTTGTCAGAGATGGAAGTTTGAACGAGAACAAGTACGGATTTTCACTGAAGTTGATAAATTATTTATAAACATGTCTGCATTAAATTTATTATCTAAAATGTTTAATGCATATTAAAAAGTACGAAGCCATTTTAGAATCTTGAATGTGCTGCTTCTCAACTACATTCTTTTGAGAAGTTATTGAATTGTCTCACTTCACGTAACTTTCAGCGGTGTTATCGTTTAGTCCATAATGATTGTTAAAACACGCAAAAAAAAGTGTCAAAAAAACAACGTGCTTTCTCTTTGCTCATAATTATGGGTGGCTTTCAATAACAATAAATATAATAAACTTTATCAAGTGTACACCAGTTTCCGACAGTTTTTAGTTCCCCGAGGAGCCGCTAGAATGGACGGCAAGATTAACAACGATAAAAGCGAGTAAAGTGGAAATGAATCAGCAGCGTTGGACGCTTTGTCGAATG